CCTGTTCAGGGCAGGCAGTTGGACTTGATGATCTAATAATAGGTCCCTTCCCACTGTAAAATCTATTAAATCTATGAAATCAGTAGCAAACACAGGAAATATTGTGGTGATGATGGCACCAGGAGGCAGCAAGCTTCTGGACAGGGGAAGCAAGCTGACAGTAAGCGAGAACCAAAGAGAGTTTACACCATATTCTCAACTGGCTTCTCAAGGTGATTTAATCTGGCTACTTCAAGCTAAACAAGTTTACTATATCAACAAGCTCCCTGACATTACCTCTTCATGGTAAAATAAATTAAACATTACCAAAGAGTTGCCTGTGCCTTAGCACTAAGTGTTTCTTTAGCAGTATAATTTTCTAGTGTTCTCACCAATCATCCTGTTGGGAAAATTATGTTCCGTCAGTCTAAAGTTCCTTTGCAGGCTGTTCCCTCAGCTTCTCCTTATGAAAACCAAGAACAAAACCCACTGTAATAATTCTGGTGAAGAATAGTTGTTGAAATCCAGATTATGAGGAATCCTTCTCAAGACATCGTGAGAAGAATAAAAAGAAATCCCTAAAATCACTCAGCTCCCAATGAGTATCAGAATGGTTTGTAAATCTGTAAAAAATATAACTAGATGTGAATGAAAGAGAGAAAATAAGCTTAACTATTAATGCACAATATTTATTATAGACATGACTAAGGCACTTGAAAAATTATCAAAACATTAAAATGTCTAAACAAGACAGAAAGAGATCAGATCACTTCAAAGAGGAGCTCAGACTTTTTTATATATAGGACAACATTTTCATGACAGAAACTGTCTCACTCTTCATTCTCTCCGAGTGCTTGGGCTAATACTCCTAAACCTAATTGTGCAACATCCCTGTGGCAACCTTATCAGTTGCTTAAATATATAGGTAACAGGGAGAAAAGTATTTGTGATTTATCAGAATAGGAAGCTGGAAACATGAAGATGCACTACACTGACCTACTAGCTTCCATTCAAAGATATATGGATAGGAGTTTGAGAATCTCTGCCTTTAAAATTAAAAAATCACTTTTGCCCTATCATGCACTGTACCCAATTCTTTCCAGGCTGGCTGGTTTGCTCACACCTTCATGCTGCTTTGCAGCACTCAGCCCGATTGCCAGAATGCAGTCAACTATCACCCAGTCAGCTCCACGACATTGTTTTGGAATAGTCTGAAGACACTGCTCTGCATTCAGAACAAATACATTGTACAACAATTGTTCTGTGCACAAAACAAGATTAGATTATGGATCTAAGCCCTGGGTACATGGGAACAAGTGCTTGTGTGAAACATACACGTAGTTACAGATGAAATTATATCAAGTATTGCTTGGTCTGTACAAAAATATGTTTAAAATATATGGTTTCAAGTAGATTCTTACCTAGGACAGTACAGAGTTTGGTTTTCCCAAGACAAGTAATATGGTATTAGTTTCACTATTTAGTTACTGCAGCTTTAAGCAGAATAATGCCAGATGTACGCAAGCTTTATCTCCAGTCTCTCCCTTGTTATTCCACTTCTGTCTGCCTGCCAGCAGAAGGATTTCTTGAAATATAGTAAAAAGTAAGGATCATTGCTTGGTCTTGCTTGGAAGGACAAGGTGCCTTTAATATTTGATCTACAAAGAAAAGCCAAAGAGCACTGGAACCATTCGGGAACTCTGGGGTTTTGAACGGGGATGGTGATGTCAGCCGTGCATCAAGGCTGCGAAACAGTTTTCTAACGTGTAACTTGGCATTGCTCCCTGACCAGGACAGACAAGGCCTCACTGAGCTGTAAGTGGTAAGCTGGTGCGAACAGAGGGCTTATGGACAGAGAAGCAAGTCTCTAGGACCATGCCCCATTTCCATCCCAAAGTGCAAAGATCAGCATTATCTTCAAAAGAGACTCAGTCCAAAGGAGTTAGGGAACGAGATTTGCTCGTTCTTCCCCTGTAAGTTTTCTTTCCTTACATCACAACTTCCTTCTGTCCTTCCTTGCCTTAGCATATTTTATATTTATTGTTTTGTGGCATCATTGGGTTTTTCCCACTTCATCTCACAGAAGTCTTTACAACATGATTAGATCAGACCCAGACAGGGAAACTTCACAGGTCGACTCCAATACACAAGTGAAGGTTTAGGCTTTAGCTAGTAGGACTTGATTTCTTCCAGTCACAAGGCAAAAATCAACGGGTAACCAGAACAGATTACAGTTTAGTTGATTTGGTTCCCAGGTTAGCATACACCTAATAGCAAAGTGGACCAAGTCACAGTTACCAGGCGAAAAGCCTACACTAACCAGGAGTTGGCTTATGGCCCACCTAAGCTTTATAAAGTGCTTGAGAGTAACGTTTAAGCTCTAAGCCCTTGCACATCAAAAACAGAAAAACAGCAGACCCATAATCCTCCATTAGCACAGCTGCAACAGGATAGGAAAAAAAAAAACCTTTTTATTTTTCCAAACCAAGTCAAACTTTTTCCAGCTGAACCTACGTAGCCCCTGCAAAGCTTCACCTTGTTTGGCAACCTGGGTTTCGTTCACATAACCTGACTACCAGCGCTTTAGCCATCGCATCACCCACCGCTGCCTGCAGCCGGACTAGATAACGCTGCGAGCGAGCGAGAGAGCGAGCTCTCCGCCGCTATCGCGGAGGCATCGCAGGAGCAGGGCGCTACGAGGAAAGAAAGTCCGGGATTTAGCCCCGATCCGTTAAAATTTACGCCCCGGCTATTCGAATTGGGCACGGGAGGACCCGGTCACAACACAGCAGCATCCCGACACCCTTACAACCGGGCTGACACTACGGGCATCAACGGCCCCAAAACACACTCCCGAAGGAGTTTCCAAGGCACGCAAAGCCCGTGCCGCTATCACGCCCCGTGCCAGCGCCGCTGAGCTACACCGTCATCGCGTGAACCGGGCGCGTGCGAAGGATTGTGCGCAGACGAAGCCACAAAGCATCGCTCCCCAGGACACCCAACCGGGCCAGCTAGCCCCGTCCGGCAGCCACGCGACGGCCCCCAGGACACGGGGGCTCGCAGCAGAGGCGATATCTTTTGAGGGTGGGGGGGGGGAAAATAATAATAATAATGACGTCTTCCATCGCAAGCTTTCGGGCACCGACACCCCTCACCAGGCGGAGCCGAGGGCCGGGAGGGGCCTCGTGACACCACCGGGACGGCTTCCCTGCACCTCGGTGCAATCTCGCATCCATCCCCCTCCCCAACATCACCTCACATCTTCCCCGGCGCGTTTCTCAGCGCCCTGCGCCA